CAGGTTTAGTAGTACGTTCAAGAAGTAAAATCCCAATTGACGTCAGATTATGTAAGTATAGTGGTGCAAGCTGTTATAAAAGCATGAACAACTAAACATTAGGCTTCATCGGACTAGAAGTCAATATCTTTAGTTCGGTTTGATATAGCGGGAGCGGCGCTGAAATAAAGGTAAGTGAAGAAGTATGAAGGCCTAATTAATTAAGAGGAAATTGTTTTCAGTATAATGAGCAATAATGGCAAAAAGCGCCAAAAACTAGACATTCGTATGAGTTTTGATCAGAATTTTCGTTTTGGGTCAAAACTCAAAACCTTTTTCAAACATTTAGAAACTGATGTACTATGATAGAATGCCTGTTTGAAGCGGTATTTTCAATTGTACGAAGATGTTTTGTTGCATTTGGGTTAGAATGTTGCTTTGTCAGGCTCTTTTTATAGAAAATATATGGGAAATAAGCCGAGCAAATGAAGGCCTAAACTTCATTTTGGACTAAAATTTTTGCTTTGGGTTAACACTTTGATTCCACTTGCATCGGTCATCTCCACTTCCAAACAAGTTAAACTTTCTGTATAACAAGATTTTAGTCTTGTACAACAGCCTTTCTTCAATAAAATAGTTTTTAGCGCTCACTGCTTGAATACGAAAAGATCTAGAATTCTCTCTTGAGCTTTATCCATAGCCTTGGGGGTTAATAAGCTAAGTATTGTCTTGCAAAAATAAATAATATACAAAATGAGAAAACGACGGCCAAACAAGAAACTCCAATTCCGGCTTAACAGTGTGAATTTCCACTAGTGAACGGGTTATTATTGATGCATTTTCAGAGTAAATTAAGCTTAAAGTATAACTCTGAAAGAGAATACTTTTAATTTTATAAACTTTAACTTATTACAGTCAAACCAGCTCATGCGTTCCTATCGAGGTTCAAAGATTCATTTTATTATTCTAAGTTTAACTTTCATCTCGCTTTGAAGCTTGCGTTAATGAAAACGAACGTTGTAAATTTCAGTCCCGGCCTTTACCTCAAAACATCAAAATGTTCATTTGTGAAAGGACTTTTTGAACACTTGAAAACGTGCACACCACACAGATCAGTTTAAAATGGTGGCTACAACTTTAGAAAAAATATTGACATTGTACGAACATAGTTCACGAATCTGTGAAGAACTCAATTAAACTCAGTTTTAGTCCGATCCCAAATTTCAAATGTACAACGTTCGTTTCTTTACACCTATTTTCAAAATTACGCGATCAATCAAATATGAAAACGGCTTGCTCTTGCAAAATCCTTGCTTTACGGTAATTCTGAAACGAAGCAAACTTGTCTTTCTTGTCAAGTAATATTCAAACGGTTGAAACTTTAAGATCATCTGTTTTGAATGGAAACAAATCGTCCGAAGTTTGATTGACGGCAGCCAAAACACAAGAAATAATACTTATACTTTGCCAACTGCACAAGCCACGAGTTTTCAAATAGGTGTAATGCAAGTACGTTTCAAAGCAAGATGGAAATGAAACTTCGAATGATAGACTAATTAAATGTTTGAACCTCGATAGGAACGCATAAGCTGGTTTGACTGTAAATAAACTTATATAATACCTTTAAATTTTGTGATACCAAATTAGGTAGTTTTTATTTAATTTTATTTTCACCGACCGCTCTCGGTATGAGCTTCAGGATCTTTATTCTACTCTCTGTTTTGAACTAATTACATGAGCTATATTTATTATAATTCTATGACAGGTGTCATTCTATAATCAATGTGATAATATCGTTGAATCATGATTGGCCAAAGGAATAAGTAAATTCCTGAGCGTGATATCTTAATAAAGAGTAATACGAGTGAAAATCTTGGAATTAAACATAGCTTAAACTAAAGTTATTATATGAATATGTTGTATATGTATAGGAAAGGCTACGAGGAATATTTCTATCATACGATTCAAAAGAATAATGCTAAAATAACTAAGTTATAGGGTAAAAAAATGTGTAGGGCGTAACCAGAGGTACAAATGCTAATGGGAGGAGCTAAGAATAGGGGAGTACCACAAGGTACGATCTTAGGGCCTGTATTGTTCTCAGTAATAGTTAACGTTATTAAGCCTATTGATCATCCTAGTTATTCTATACCTGTGGAGTATGCCGATGATTTTGCCGAGTACTTTAGTTAACCAGGAGCATGACCATTCTTGTCAGGGAGTTAATAATATTTTGGAATGGGCAAATAATAATCATATGAAGATAGACTGCGCAATATTAAGTAAATAAATATTACCGCTAAGGGCAAGGTAGAGACATCTTTGCATATTTGGCATATTTATGATGATTGAACAAGTTAAATGTATTAAGTTGTTTGGCCTTTATTTCCATGGTGACCCTACAAACTGGGATTCCCAATTTGATTATCTATTAACCAAGGCTGGTAAATGAATGTACATTTTGCGTATCTGCAAAAGTTACGGTTATTCTTTAGATCATCTTCATCATCTTTTTCATGTTTTGATCATGTCTTTTTTTAGATATGGTATCTCAGTATGGGGTTCAGCGAGTTATCACAAATATACGAGTCTTACTGATAGATTTATAATGACATATAAAACATGTCACTCCGGCACAAAATCTTTTACATGATTCTGATATGCAACTCTGGAAAATTGTTGTTGCTTCAGAAAGTCCTTTGAGTGATTTATTACCGCTTAGGAAAACTAGGCTGTTTAAGAGATAGGGGGCATCCCTTACATTTTACCGCATATTAGAACTGAGCGTTAAATAAAGAACTGAGCTGAAAATAAAGTTTCTATTCTAGAGTTCACAAGTAAACCTCTTCGAATAGATCTTTTCCAAGGGGTTTACTTGTGAATTCAAAGCATACCATTATCTAAGCTTGTGCGTGATGTTAGCCTTGCTGAAATTTTATATCGATACTTTTATATAGCTAATTGATCATTCTTTATCTTGTTTTCATAAGATAAGCAATCATAATTTGAAAGCTGATGTCTTGCTTAGTTATTAGTCTGTAGTAATGATCATTTTCTCTCTCTCATAACAGTGCGACAAGTATAACGTCCTACATCGGCAGAGCCTATTTTTTTCACTCCACCAAAACAAAAGGAAAATAGGCTCTGCTAGCAGGGAATATCTGGTTATGGTATTTGAATGCCTTAACGCCCTTGCTTTGCCTTATTTAAGTACTAAATACATAAAACGTTCTGATATACACTCGCGCAATACTAGGCACAAGGATGATATACACTTAGTTAAATGCAGGACCGCCACTGCTCAAAGGTCATTTTTGACTCACGGATACTCCGTATTTGTGGGTCTATATATGCTATCATTTGGCTCATTTGCATAAAAAACTGTAGTCCTCCAACCTGCTTTTCGCGCTGTGCCATGAAACCAGATAAACCAGTTTACGAGTCATTTGCATTTWAAAAAAAACAAAAACAAAAAACAAAAAAAACAAACGAAAACAAACAGATAAACCAGACATARAGGAGTTTTTTGTTTGTTACGGAAGTGCGTCATTTATTTTGTTCTAGATCTAAACAGGTTTTCTTAGAGTACACTCCATAAAAGCTGGTGTGCATTGTTTTGGTACTGGTTTTGAAGAATCTGTTAAACCGGTTTTCGTGTAAATGTATCTTCAAACGAAGTTAGTCTCGTTTTTAAGGCCCGTGCTGTTTTTTAGGCATGGGAACAGCTATCTCTTAKTGGTTAATAAGGCCTAGGGCAAACGTCGAACTTTCCATGCACCGAACTTAATTACATCAAAGAATGCCTCCTCTTTATCACCTGATATCCATTGTTTTTAATGAGTTCGGTGCATGGAAAGTTCGACGTTTACCCTAGGCCTAACTTGGACTACGCTCTCCAATGATGTCATGCAACGCGACAAATTGGCTGTTGCGCTTATAAGAAAAAATCTAAATGATCAATTAACTCTGAATGCATTTCCTCACTAGCTTTTAAAACTCTCCCTTTCTCTACTTTATTACTTCCTTGGCACATTCAGATTCTCTTTTAATAAGAACGAACAATAGGTCTCGATCCCATTACTGATAAGCATGACTAGTTTTGCTATTAGCTTAATTTTCATATTCTTGTAAATTGTTAGTATAAATTTGATCTAAAAAGCCCGCTTGGGAGCATCAAACACGCATATTGTATTGTATAATGTAAGTTACTACTTACGGGTTTGTGCGAGAGTATATAATAAGACCGGTTAGCTAATAGTCTAGTCAGTCATCATACAGTTTGGGGGGAGCCATCAATTTAGCAAGACAAAAGCGTAAACTAGACTAGAATAGAGACTGGTAAAGCTACCTAGTCTGAACTCGTACCTGTAAGAATATATACGAGCTCACGGCTGCATTGCAGTGTATTCAGTGACTGTTTCCTAGGTCTTCCAAGATGGCGTCTATTTTGTCATCTAAAACAGTCCCCCAACAATGCACTGCAATGTCAACTCGACCCAGCTTTTCCTCTTCCTCGGAATGGTTAATGAGCACTGTTAAATTACAGCACGAACAACCAACTGATATGAGAAATAAATGTTAGGCAATCAAATTTCAGATAATTGGCAATACTGAAGTGTCACTTTAGTTCAGCCTCTTTTATTTAGATACCAATTATTTAACTTTCTTGTTGTAAAGTGCTATTTATCTATTATTGTAATAGGGCTATATAAGTAATAAATTATTATTATTATTATTATTATTATTATTATTATCCAGCCATAAATTTCCAGGCCACCAAATAAGAATATATAGCGTTTCTATTTCTAAAAGTGCTTGATAATAACGGCGAAACAATAATCATCAATAAGTTTTTTTAATTTTTATTGCTTATAACGGGCATGTTTTTTTCCTTTAACTGGTCAAATTTTTCAGAATCACGACACCTTAGTTTTACAGTGACGTCACTATTTCAGATCAGCTGGTAGATCAAGCTACACGCAGCTCTATATAATAACAAAATCTAAGATTTAGTCTAACAGTGACCAGGAGAATTTTCAGCATCTATAAAGCAAGCCAACCACGCAGGCTAAAGGTGGTGATATATCTTCAGTGGCTCTCAATRTTTTTCAACCTTTGGCTATATGAAAAAAAATAGTTTAGGTAAGAAACGTCAGAGTCTACTGACCACATTATTAGCATAACCACGTCGTTCCTTACATGCAAGTGACTAGGACGTCGCTTTCTTGGCTTTTCTACCCATAAGAGCCAACCAAACGTATTTCAGTGTCTTCGTGCATATTGGCCTCGTTGTTTTTCAAGTAACAGGTTGGTCAGAACTTTTCAGTTGTAATTTCCGACTTTTTTAAACACAAATACAAATAACCTTTATGTTCATGATTCTTTAGAACGGGATTTTCAGAAACATTGCAATCTACAATAAAATAATCTCACAGTGCGACTTTATTAACCAAGGCCATCCAAACAAATTTGAAACCATATTTACAAATCGCCGTTAGGCTGCATAACCAATGATATTTATTGATGAATTCTGGATTTTAAACTGTTTCTTGTTCACTCCTGATCATAAACACACACGTATAAAGAAATATATATGATTCTAAAGGGTAAAAATTCTATAGATTCTAATTTTTAAATACTCAATCGTGATTGGCTAATTTGTATGAAAATTTGACTGAGGTGCGTTGGTTAGAGTAGTCGCACTGTAATGATATTCTCAGATGATAAAATAAATGTTTGAACGAGGAAAAAGAAATGAGACGTATTAGCTACTATAATAATATACAATGATATGTGCGGAATATCTAAATACTCGATCTAAAAAGACTACTATTAGATTCATTTAAGTTCCTAATGTCGCTAGGCAACGAGTTCCAAAAATGATTAGATTTCATATGGCATAAAGAATTCTGTCCAATGGCTGTACGACATTTAGGTACCAGTAGTTTTAGGTCTGCAACATTGTGAATGTAAGATCTCTTGACAATTATCAAATTACCGTAAGCATAGAACCAAGAGGAATAGTTCTGGCCGGGGCAAAAAACAGTGTTTTTTTCTTTATTTTCTTTTTTTCTTTTTTGATAAGAAAAGACGGCCTATTGTTTTGTTCCCTAGGACGATTCCTCAATGCAATTGTCAATATTGAAGGTAGTCCTTTAACATATAAATGCAGACGAGTGGCCATTTTGGGTGTCGCGTCGGCAGGAGTTTGATTTTAGAAAAATAACATTAGCATCAGTTTTACTTTGTTATTGTTTGTTTCTTTCTTAATTTATTTTTGGAAGCGATAAATTAAATATTTTGGTTCTTAAAGGTCACGTCTAGAAAACAATAATCAAACTCCCAATAGACGTGTTATAGAGACTCTCCTACCAAGACGCAAACCTTTGGAACTTATTCTTCGGATTTCTCCGTTTTCGAAATTGTAATTCGACCTCGGTCTTTTACATTAGTCAGAGTCTGCTTCCCACGCTGAGATACGAATTAACAGCCAAGAGGCTTAATAGATTTTTAAAGTAAAAGTTGAATGCTCAGTGGTAGCCCGATGGCGTGTCATTAAAAGCAAACAATAGCCTTATTTCAATCAAAATAAATTCAAGTTTGTCTTGATGTTTTGTAGAGTCCATATTCCTATAAAATTCTTGCGTGCGACGCTTGTGTGATGATTATCGATAACGTATTCGATTTATCGGAAAAGAATTTTACTATCCAATTTCTCACATCGATAATAGATGCTATGCCTTTTATGTCCATATACATTTCTTTGCAAAGATGCTTATCTTTTTCCTTTTTTCGCTATAAAATCAAAATAGGTTCTGTAGTATCTCCTATTTCTACCCCTCCACGGAGAAATTAAAATCAAGTATCGTTTTAAAAGCCAGTCAAGCTGCGGGATTTTAATTCCTTAGTTTATAAGGATGTCATGTTAAGCTTTTTCAATTTCATATCTTTTGGTTTTTGGATTCAGTCGATCAAATTTCCAATATGAGTGAGTAACGTTTTGATTGAAGGAAGCCAATAACTGCAGACGCCATCTTGGCTGTCAGTTGGTCTGACTCGTAATGATGAAATGCTTAATATCCAAGGCACCCTGTTGCCATTTGGCAATCATCGTTAATTGCTATTAGTCAACCCAATCCAACCGGAGTGGTCTATCACTAATGTTTGGTCTCATGGGCTATTAAAGCCCATTTTTGCTCGAGGACTAATTGCTGTTAGACTGACGTTGCATGGTTGCTGCATTCCCCCCCCCGCATGCATACTCTACTTTGATTCACTAGTTGTTTTTCATGTAAGCTACTTTTTGTTGAGTGCAAGCTAGCTTCTGAATAGAAAGCGCTAAATAAATCCCCGTCGCGACGAGATCAGGTTTTTGTGTACGTCAATCAAAGCATTTCTATGGCATTCTATAGACAAGCCCTTGAAAACTTTGTGTTTTGCCACATTTTTATGAAAAAGGTACTTTGATTGACGTCTACCAAATAATAAATCCGTATTAAGTACGTGCGTCGGTAAATTCAGTACGATTTCGCGGGTAAGGCCATTTGCAACAAACAGTCGTATATAACGAATCATTTCAGCCAAAGGTCTCTTGGGTAAGGACGGCAAACAAAAATTGCTTTGTCTTTCGGGAAAAAGTTATTGAAATGAAGTCCGAATGTTTTGCCATCCAGTAAGAGTCATGAGATTATTTCCTGCAGATGGCCTATTGAGAAGCATAATTGTGAAGGCACTGAGTACTAATTGGAAAAAAATCCCTAGTTATTACGTTTGTCTTTATAGGCAATTTGCATGCGTCATTTCACTACCACTACCAAAATGCTTCGCGAGATTCCTTTGTATTTCCTCATAAGAACTGTAGCAAAAGAAAGTGTTCAAGGAATTCTGGTTGTTGTAGTTGTGATGCCATAAAATTTGTATTTCCTTATAGGAATTGTAGCAAAAGAAAGTGTGCAAGGAATTCTGGTAGTTGTAGTCGTGATGCCATAAAATTTGTATTTCCTCGTAGGAATTGTAGCAAGAGAAAGTGTGCAAGGAATTCTGGTAGTTGTAGTCGTGATGCCATATATAATTCAAATATCCTATTCGCCTCTTTTTCGTATACCACAGAGCAGGAATGAACTCCAAGCCCTTGTCTCCAACCGGTTACGCCTTCGTGACGTGCTACCTAGGAATCTTACTTGTCGCGGGAGTAATAAGTCAAATCATCACCATCAAAGTCCTTCTTGTTAAAGATAACCGCAACAAACACCTCACACCTTATCTCCTTAACATCGTGGCCTCTAACGCTATAATCATTCTTGGGAGTTTCCCAACGACATTCCTATCATCTTTGAACAACGGATGGTACTTCGGCGATGCTGTTTGTCGTCTCGATGGCTTGCTTACTGGCATTGGATTTACAGCAATGATTGCTACTATGACTTATATCACAATCAAAATATATTTAATTGCCAAGAACCAATACCTTGTGATTAATGCAGAGACGCCAGTGCAATGTGGTCGACCCTATATGAAAATCCTGATTGCAATCTGGGTCTACTCTATTATTGCTATTATGCCCCCAGTTGTCGGACTCACCAACATGGTGCTAGAGGCGGCTAAAACTAACTGTGTTCCAGACTGGGCTCCCAAACGCGTTCCTGATAAAATCTACATCGTAGGACTTACACTCGTGGCATATGTTTTACCCGTATCCGTGTCCTTTGTGTATCTCTGGAAAACTCGCCTCATTATTTCGTTGCACATCAACTTGATGAATGACCGCTTCATGAACTTAAAACTTGGGAACTTGAAGAACATTTACAGGATGTCCGCGTTTGCTGTATCCTTCTTTGCTATTGCTTGGTTACCTTATGGACTGTATGTCTTTATATCTGTTATATCAGGAAAAGAGGATTTTGGTGTGGAAGCTACGTTGGTGCCCGCCTTAACTGCAAAATCAAGTGTGGTTGTCAACCCATTCATTTATGCCGTCGTTCTACCAAAGTAGATATACACCTAAATCCAAAATGGCGCACGGCCGGTGGAAAACGAGGCATCCACGGCCCAATTTACAAATTTACAGTATTTTCTTATAATTTGAAGCTGCAAAATTGTTGTGTTCYTGAATGCAAGAAGAAAAAGAAAGGCAGAACAAGCGACTTGCATTGACACCATATTATTTCTTTGCATTTGGCCCTGCATGCCTTGTTTTCATGTAACACTCTCGGCCGTGCGCCATTTTGGACTCAGGTGTATAGGTCTAGTACTGATTTCATGTTATTTTCTTGTTTGCGCTCCTTGTTTGACGTCCCATAATATAATACCTTGCGATATAACATGGCCGCCGTATCGTCGAAGTAGCCCATTCAACCCCGAGCCAATCACTCCCTGCGTGGTCCAAGTTAAATAAATTAATAAGTCTTATTAACCGAGCGCGAGGTCCGTGCCGTAAGTTATGGACCGAGTTTTTCCCACTACATGATGGTACAATTGCGCAAAGCTCACGGGCCTTGAAAAAGTGGGAGAAACCAGGATTTATAAGTTACGTACAGACCGAGCAAGGGGAAGGTTAATAAGATGTGTTATAATATGGCAAGGAGAACAAAAAAGTTGGGTTTGTGGTCCGTACCTTAAGTTATGGACTGCAAGATGGGAATTGAAGGCCCGTGGAATTACCTTGCCATGTAATAAATTCATTTAGGTTATATTACTTCTCTGGCTAACAGACCTCTTGTCCTCTGACTTGCCTTTCTACTGTATTTATAAGCCATATACAGTCAATGTCATTAACGTTGTCCACCGAAAAAAGACATTTACACATTTAGACATTTAGACATTTACACATATTTTACGCATTTACACATTTAGACTAAAAGAAATATCACGTGTTTCCTCGAACGTTCTGTCATAAAACAAACGCTAGCGCTGAAATACAATTCTCCATCTTAAATCCCCACTAAATGGTCGGGGCATTCTGGATTTTCGATTCACGAGTTGAATTTTACATTTAAAGTTTAGGCT